ATAATAATAATAATAATAATAATAATAATAATAATAATAATAATAATAATAATAATAATAATAATAATAATAATAATAATAATAATAATAATAATAATAATAATAATAATAATAATAATAATAATACCAAATTCGTTACGGTATTACCCTGGTCACAAATGCTTTATCATTGGATAGCTTACAATGGCAAACCAGCACAAAGTGCAACCAAAGAGTATATAACTGCAAGAGGTTCGATTGTCGGAGTTTCGTTGAAACGCAATCCTATCGCAAAAAGTGATGCCACGAAGGGAAGTATCCTTCAAAAGAACCTAAAAGGCGTTCGTATCGAACGAGTGCTGTGCCTCTATAGAACGTACGGTATATTCGAGTTTCAAAACGCAGCACGCGTTCGATAGGAACGCCTTTTACGTTCACTTGAATGACACGAGCTTTCGTAGCAGTATCCAATAATTATAATAGTGAAACATCCGTTCAAAGTGCATTGTGGATACACGAAGAGCAACTTTACCCCGTTCGCACTTCGACGCTATATATCAACAATAAATGCGCCGCTCATGTTCGTTTTTTCCTTTGTTTCTCCCAAAGATCTTATAAACACAAGATAGCGTTCTCCGCGATTTACGCGTAACAAGCGTCGATTTGGCACAGAAAAGTAATCAGTTTTGGAAGATGGCGTCCTAGTCGTTGCCATGGATCTGAGCTGATAGGGTGTTCGCTTTACGCCATACGTTCGTTACCAAGTAATAATTGGTTCCTTATGTTCTAAAGAGAGGGCGCATTGTAAATCGGACGCTTCTAATTGGTTACGCGTAATTGTAAAGTCGCGCGACGTACGCTATGGTCAGAGCGGTCAAGGTTCAAAGTTTTAAATTTTGCAAGAGGGTGCTTTTCATGCATTATTACAGAATTTGCACGCGTGAATTCTATCTTGTGTTTATAAGATCTTTGGTTTCTCCACAAATCTATTCTTCAACGCGTCATAGATGAAAATCAACTTGATAGAAGCCAATTTATCAAAGAAAGTTTCACCCATAAGCATTAAATAGAATATTCTGTAAAAAGCATGTAGTTTTCCATATTTTTTTGTGTTTGGTAATTGTTTGTACACAGGTCCCTCATCACAATATGCAGTCTTTTAACGCCAACATAATGTCAATGGCTGCCAAAATGTCTGAAATCAGACGGCTACAAGTACCAGTACCAGTAATTTTACCCCGTTCGCGGGTGGGCGGTTGATTTTAATGCAAAGACGCGGAACAGCTCATTCTTCTGCTATTTAAAGCCCTATTCCCGGCAAAATTTCACTAAAAAAAGAATTTTTTAGAAAAATTGTTTATGCGTTACTTTAATTATTATAAAGCATGGAAAATATTGACATATATTTTAGTTTTACTCACAAGAATAATAAAAAAAAAAGAATTATAAACTATTTCTCACAGGAGATTACCATTTCTCGACGAATTCTTCGTTACTAGGCAAATTCAGAAGTTGTAGATCGCATCTGCTGGAATGCTCTCGCTGTTATCTATACTTTGTACACTCAATAAATGCGACCTCTCTAATTAGATTAGTTTTTGTACTTCGCGTCTCGCACAGTGCGATCGACCGAGTAGGCCTGAAATTTTGTTTGTTTAATTGTCAAAATAAAAAAATAATTGTCAGATTTATTTTTTTAACAAATTGGGTAATTATTCCTATGAAATATTATATTTCATAAGTGTCAATACTAGCAACGGAAAATATCATGTCGGCCGTTTTTATGTGTGATAACAAAACATAAATCAAGGTATGGCTAGGCTTAGCCTAGCAGTGTTGGATAGGCTAACGTTTCCGGTGCCTACAATATTTCTTGTATTTCGTATTATTTATAAATCTTTATAGCATATATAAAAATCCGATTTTTCTTAAAAACTGAAATTTTGCCGGGAATGGGGCATTAAGTTCTTTGGCAGTACGGTACTTTTTAACATTCATTTGCCTGCATACAAGGGCAGTCGGACCTCTTTTAGTTCTGTACTCTTTGGTCTCACCTTCTCTGCTCCCTGGGGAGGTATTTAGCGCACAAAACTAGTATATTCAATGCCACAACATCCTACCAGACACCCATTTATACTCTTGGGTAGAGAAAGACAAACGTAGATAATGTGCCTTGCCCAAGCCACAACCGATGCGCCATTCGCTTCTATTGAAAAATAGGGTAGAGCATTCGTCATGTTGCAAATGGTGAGTGTAAAAAAAACCTGTTAAATGTTAAAAATATCAATTATCACATTTTACCAGTTTCGTTGAATCCAAAAAACCAAATATGGTCATAATATGTTATGTTTGGTTTAGTTTCATATTTTAGCATAACAGCATAAGATATTGACGATTGGTGTGGACGGAAGTCAAACATCAATGACGTCTTATTATCCAGGATTTCAATGCCGTGACAGATATAAGCACTTTCATTAAAATCATTTGGATAATAATCCAAAAGCTCAGGCACGGGCGTATCCCTGCGAGGACAGAATATCTCGATGTCTACTGGCGTATCTGACACTGGAATATCTTCGTTCAATTCATTCCTAAAAACAAGTGTCATTGCGGCAGCCGTCTCGGGGATATATTTAGAAGACTCATCAAAGTTAAAAGGATTTTTAAATGAACTCATGCTTTGGCGATTCATTACAACATTTGGATCGCAGTCACTTTTAGGCTTTATTCCGCCGCACCAGCTTCCGACTTCAAAGCTACCCCATCCTTCTTCAGTTGTCTCATTGCCAAACATGTAGGCAAAATCTTTTTTTAGCTGAAGCGTAATCTTTGGAGTAGTGACAGACGTTGCTGGTTCACCAGGAAGCTTGTTTTGAGAAAGTGTTTTTGAAATGTTGTGAATACTCTCCATCAATGTATTTACCGTGTTCCGTGCCTACAAAATAATCAATGTATAAACAAAATAAATATGGAAAAATAAAAAATTTTGATTTTTTTTTTCTTCAAATTTGTGACTCTTTGTGGTGTTGTTGACGTATGTAGGTCATTATCTCGTGTGTGTGTGTGTGTGTGTGTGTGTGTGTGTGTGTGTATGTTTTGGTGGGGGGGGGGTGGTGCAAGAATCAAACTTAGGTAATATTAACATAGTTTTCAAAAATAATTGGAAATGCAACATTCGGTAGGCCTACCTTTTCACTTCTCTCCTTCTGTGCTTCCGGATCAGATGTTGTACCTGCGGTTGTGGATGAGGCAGCCGACGGGGAAGGAGCTGAATAATAAAATAGCATCGTTATGAGTTTCTTATATTTAATAAAACCGTCTTAGACACTGTCCTTTTGCCACCCGGAAAGATAATGTTAGATTTACTTTCATGGACGTACACCATGCAAACTGACTTGGTACCCAATAATATTAGTTTTTGGCGCTATGGCTGCTATACAGTCCTATCCAAACTTGTGTGTCAAACTATAAAATTGATGAGCTTGAAACGAATAATAACAAAAATCAACTTACATATATATCCGTTGGCAGTGGTAAGCGGGTTGTCCATAGACTGGGCTGAACCCTAATATGTATATAAATAAAGAAATCATTATTAAAAATTCAAAATACGTTAGAAACCTGAATCGATTGTAGAGGATAACGGTTTTCCACAAGTAAGCTAAGGTCCAACAAAACCTGGTGAGACGTACGAGTATCCATGACTATTGACGTCCTGAAAATGACCTTTGATTTGAAATGACCTAAACAAATTATACGTTATTGACGTCATAACTTTAAAAAATTATACGTCATTGACGTCATAACTAACCTCTAAGATATTGCCTAAAACACCTATTACGTTGGCTCCTGCTTCAGTCAACGTGTTTTGGTCAATTTCCTCACTGAACGCCGAAAGGCCAGATACCATGTCTGTAACAAGTGCAACTCCTGTATCCTAAAAAGAAAATACACCAAATCAAAGAGTATAATGTAACTGCAACAGGTCCAACTCTCGGCATTTCGTTGGAACGTAAAAAAAGTACTACCACGAACTCTACAGGGCGTCTTTCAAAAGAACGTAAAATAGGGCTCCCGCTATCGCGTGGTGGCGTGGTAGTACTTTTTTTTATCAACCCAGAAGCGTAAAGTTGATGTTAGGTAATTGGTGACCTGTTTGGGAGAACATAATTATTCAAGGCCTGTCGAGACTATTTGCTTGTTGTTTTTACACTAACGCTGATGTTCTCTACGGGGGCCTATTTTTAACGTTTCATTGCTTGACAAAAGTAATGGTGTACAACTTACCAATGCTGTATTAGAGATCTCATCAGATGCATTTGTTACAACAGACACTGCACTGGCAACCAGTAATATGTCCTTTGCAGACTTCATTTCAGCTTTAGCGAGTGCTTCTGTCATTTTAGCACGATACTACATAGTAAATATAATTTAAAAAAATATAATCAAAACTCAAAAATAAACTCAACACAATTCAATAAGACGTCGACGTAATTGATGTAAATGTTTTAGAAATAAATAGTAGTAGGCCTAAAACGTAAGTGTCGCATGGCTGTTATGGAAAATACATTTCCACCCTGTTCTTGAAGCTGGCGCTACTACTATTAAACTACCTACGTATACTCACCGTCATCGGCGCTATCACCACTACTTCCATTAATACACAAACTATTAAATCATATATAGCCTTCACGACCACATATTTTTGATAAATAGAGCCATGGTAAACTCGTTTGTATGGTAAATAAATCTTTATCTACTAAAATAAATTTCAAAAATTAAGTCATTCCACTTTAGTATTCAGTGTTTTTGTTTATTATTTTTAAGATCATGAACTTACCATGGCCCTTTTGTTCCTTTCCTCTTCCTCCTTCCTATTCAATTCAGCCAGGTTTTCAGTTGACTGTAAAATAACAATTGGTTTCATGAATATAGAGAATACAAAATATAGATTTTATTTCTCTAATCTAACAAGAGCGACCGCTCACCGATCCGAGCGTTCCACCAAGCTTAAATACGGTACACAGTGGTGCAAGTTATTATATTGGTTTTTTTGAAAGAGCTAGATAAATTAACAAAACTTTGTTTTAATAAATAGAATGTTCATTTGTACAAATTCAAAATGTCTGAATTTTTTTTTAAATGTCTTGAAATTAAAAAAAAAAACAAAAAACAAACAAATAAAAAAAAAACGAATACCAAGACACAATTTGAACTCATTATCTTTATGGTTCTTTAGAACACATCCTTAACCGACCGCGCCATCCATGCGACGTGCCCTGTTATTGGTGATGGCAGTAATGTACGATCCTTGCTGAAACCCCTATTTTGTTTTGTAGGTGTATGGTGCTCCCCGGGGTCCAACTTTAAAAAAGGGCCATGAACGTTTGTTGAAAATCACCTCTAGTTTATGTGTACAGAATGTCTTGCACGTCCGTTCAAAACTGGCGACGCTGGATGCTTTTTTTAAAAGTTCTGGTAGCAACAAGATTGCATAATAT